GAGCTCGTATAACGGTGCTAGCAGCGTCGACATATTGGGCAAGAATCGGTGATAATACGTCAGAAGCCCAAGGAAGGAGCGAAGTTCGCTTACATTTGACGGCGTCGGTGCATCTCGGATGGCCTCCAAGTTTTTCTCGATTGGATGTAGTCCTTCCTTGTCGATCTGGTGGCCCAGGTAAGTGATGTCCGGCTTCCTAAATTGGCATTTTGATCGCCGAAGCTTGACACCCATGTCCCGGAAGCGTTGCAGCACCCTGCTCAGGTTGTCGGTTCCCGGTTGTTCCGCTACCAGGACGTCGTCCAGGTACACTTGCACGCCCTCCAGATCTGCGAGCATGCTCTCCATCTTCCTCTGAAAAATCGCCGGCGCGGAATCAACTCCAAACGGAAGGCGATTGAAGCTGTAAAGGCCACGATGGGTGTTGATGACTGTTAATTCCTTCGACTCTTCATCCAATGCCACCTGGCTGTAAGCATCCCTAAGGTCTAAGGTGCTAAATAAAGAACCGCCCCGCAACGACGCAAACATATCAGCTATGTTAGGTAGCGGATACTGCTCTGTGTTGCACGCCATGTTCGCTGTCAACTTAAAATCGCCGCACAGGCGTATCGAGCCGTTCTTTTTCTGCACCGGTACAATCGGTGCTGCCCACTCCGAATGGCTTACAGGCGAGATAACTCCGGCCTCTACCAACCGATCCAGCTCCTCTGACACTTTGTCGCGAAGCGCGTATGGAACAGGTCGTGCCTTCATAAACTTCGGCACCGCTCCCTCCCTCAAATGAAAACGTACCGGTGGCCCCTTGATGGTTCCCAGGCCTGGCTCGAACAGGTCCTGAAACTGCAACAGCAGGTCTTCCAGCTCTCTCGTTGAGCCTGCAACCACGCTTGACACCAGAGGGTCCAGTAAGTTCAGTTTGCCGATTACGTCTCGACCACACAGGCTTGGTCCGGGGCAGTTCACAACCACGAGCGAAGCCGGCACCGTGACGTCATGGACGGTCGCCCTCATGTGTAGCTCCCCGAGGATGGGCAGCTGTCCCAAGTAGCATCGGAGACTCAGCTTGGTTGCCGACAGCGCCGGCCAATGGTCCTTGTGCTCATTGTACACTTCACGGGGAATAACACAAACAGGAGAGCCCGTGTCGACTTCCATGGTCAGTCGCACTCCCCCCCAGGAGATCTGCCTTCGGACCGGCGGTTCAAAACTTGCCCGTGTTCGAGGTTGTACCGTGTACACTGATGCCAAGTCCAGGTCCTCTCCCTCTGACGCCGTCGCAGCTGCAATCGTCGAGATTGGTCGTCCTGGAGTTGCAACGTCATTGTGCGCCCCACATTTCTTCGCGAAATGGCCTTGTCTGCCGCATCGGAAACATCTGGCGAATCTGTGCCGACACGCGTCCCGTGCATGTGAACTGCTTCCGCATCGCTCGCATTCTTCTTTTCTTGTATTGTACCTCCTTCCCAGGTCTGGCTGTTTTCGGGACTTTCCGGCTATTCTGTGTAGCTCCGCTTCATTTTTCACCTCCTGGCTTTCCATGTTCTTTGCCTTCTTTGTGGCTACCTGTGCCGCGGTAGCTAAATCTTCTGCCTCTGCCAACTACCACGCGGCTACCAACAGTGCGCGCTTCCTCTTATCTTCGGTAATAGCATTTCCTTCAAAGTAGGCTTCAACTCGAACAACATAAGTTTCCCACTTATCTTCTGCGTCGTGGAAGAAGGGAACTTGAAACGCCGTGGCCGCAGTTGCCATTCTTGGGCTGTCCTTGCTTGTCGTGCCCGTTGAGTGAGTTCAGCTCGTCGCCACTGTTACGTCTTAGCTGCCATCCGCCGTTCGGCCAGGCGCGACGCGAGTATGACACGCTCCGGTGGTAGCCAGTATGGGACAACGCCTCCTTTATTGCTTCGAACACAGATATATAGAGAACGCCACGACTAGTGACGTCAACAGGGAAACTGCTATCGGCTTGATAACAGCGAATAGACAGGATGTAAACAATGACAATGCAGCATTGAGAAAACATGTGCTCAGAATCCGCATTCGATACTGGAAGCGACAGGGGTCTCAGCGCACCTTCTGCGAGATGTGGAGAAGGGTACACTCCAGAAACACTCCTGTAAGCTGCCGCTCAGTATCGTGATAACTGGGAAGGGTCAAGTCTTTTTCTGGGCATGTTAGAAAACACAAGCAAACAACTAAGTTTGCCAAGAAAGACTGATTCTAATGCAGCTGTCGCTTCCATTTATATTATGTTTGTGGACTTGTGATTGACTGCTCTTTCAGTGTCGTGATGACCAAAACGTCGGTGTCTTTTTCATAATTTTCTTTTAAAGGTATTTGTAACGTCAGAAATTGTGTCATCTTTCTGCCCGGGTATATACATTCTTTGTACTAAAAATTCGCCAGAATATAAATAAAAAGTAGCCAAAAAGGCCAAGGAGCCAACTTAAAACTTTTGTTTTAAGTTGCTCAAAAGTAGCCAATGTGGCGCAAAGTAGCCACCGACGGCACCAGTGCAAGTGGCTTGTAATTTGAGGAACTTTGGCTTTTAATGGCGATGGGTGACGTATACCAGGTGCTGGCTCGTCGACCAATCAGCTGAACCGACGTTGGTACGATGATGACGATGTGCTCTTGGCGTTGATACCTGGCAGGACAGCGCTTCAGCACACGCTGGCTTGTTGATGTCCTTTCGGTGTTGGAACCAGGGCAGAGCTGGGAATTTGAAGATAACTGTTATGCTAGGCTGCTTTCGCCGCCACTGAGCAAGTGTTATGTTATCTGTTGTTTTCCTTTAATCGTTTTCACTAATTAAACTAGTTGCGAGTACAGCTTTGTCCTGTCGTCTGTGTTCCTTCACTCCATCCTCATTGTTTGAGCTGTGTTCATCGTGGATAACTACTTTAAAAGTTTAAATTTACAGTAATTTTTCCGCATCGTCTACACTCGTTGGATAGATTGATAAATCAATCTGCCATGTTTAAGAATTTACCTAATGATAAAGAATACCTTTTTTCTTACGTACGGTGATTTAAATAAAAATATATAATTTATTTAATAAAAAATATTTTTATGTATTTTGCTACGTTGGACTTCGGTGAGTTCATGACATGACGGTGTGTGGCTTCTGAATTCTGTCTGTTAAGTTCAAAAAGTTACGTTGAGCAAGTTTATGAACTTGGATGAGTTCAGATGTGATGTTGAGTTATCTGATGAATCTGGGGACGGTGGTGATGTGATTGGAGCGAGTCTTTTATGCAGCTGAACTCAAGACGTGGAGGGTGACGAGTTTTTGGTGAGGTTGGGCTGTGGGTTTGGACACCTGTGGTGTACTTTGTGATGTGAACGCAAATTAATTGGGTAGATCAGGAATCTCCAACACGCGGCTCGCGTCTCTCTAGGAAGTGGCCGTAAGCATGCTATGTATAACATATGTGGATGGTTTGCACTATTGTGTTTTTTTGCTTTGTGTTTTGTTTCAATTTCTGCTTCTCAGCTTTTTCTCATTATAAAACCACTTGTACGACAATAGACTTTTTGCTAAATTACCCAAGCTCAAGGGGAGTGTAGTTACATGTGCTGTGCATACTTCCTTCTGCAGCAGGGACTTCTAAATTAAAAATCCAATACAAAGGGCACTTCAAATGCGCATTCGTCAAAGTCTTAATGTCGTTGTTTACTTTGAATATTTGAGCAAAAGGTATATAGGTATATTCTGCTTCTAGGGCGCAAGTGCTTGGCTACACAAACTCTGTCTTGGCAGGATCAGCTCTCGCAGATAAAGCTGCTCAGGGTTCTCACATTCAGAAAATATCACCATTAAAATAGGAGTATTTTTCAGACTGCTGCTACAGGTATTGTCAGGAAAGCAAGAACTGTCGTATGAAAATATATATTTTTTTTTTGAGACAAGAAGCTGAATTACTTTTGTGTGAATGGAGCAACGGGAACGACAGTTTGCTTTCTTTCTTGTTCCACTAAAAATGCCAGCACGATGGTGGGGCAGTGCTAGTTTAATTTTTGTGGCCACATCGTGCGAGGGCCCAAATAGTCCTATAAACGAATCAAAGCTAAAGATTGGAAAAACCGCAAGTTTACAAAAAGCAGAGAGCAGAAAACCTCCCCCTGGCTTATGTTGGCCCTTGACCTTTCTCGGGTGGGCCATCTGGCCCCCACTCTCAAATGACCGCTGTGGTAGATTGTACTTCCGGTCCACGTTCAAGACCGTTTGAGGGGTGCATAAATAACGATACACAAATACATGGTCAACATGGCAGACAATCGACAGTGGCCCCAAATGCATAGCGAAAATACATGTGGGAAAAGAGAAAAAAAAAAAAGAAAAAACTGATGAAATCGCTGCTGTTGCTATGCTGATTCTCGACGAAATGCATTATCATTTAGTGCAGGGGTTCTGAGTCGGCGAAGGATAGGAATTCCATTTTTCCAGAGTTACTTTTGCTTAACGGTCTGCATACTGTAGTCTTGGAAGAGCCAATCTTTCCTCCCGGATGTCTACGGTTTCGCGCAAACTGCGTCGCTGCTGCGCCCAGGTTTTACGTTGTCGCATACATTGTGCACACTGGGGAAACGAAACCTTGTGCCTATGCCCCAGCGCGTTGACAGCGGCGCATCTTTGGAAGTGTGCGAACAAACTAGAGCTTGTTACTTCAGCGGGTAGGTTATTTCAGTTTTTGGAAGTAGGAGGGAAAAATGAATACTGGAACACATTACGTGGCATAGTACTCGTGTTGGCTTTGTATGTTGGATTGGGCGGAAAATTCTACTCGCTTCTCCCGGTTAGTGTTGATTATGTCACATTGTCTGGTAGAGAAATTTTAAGAGCATTTCTGGTACTAAGGTTTGGGAGGTGGGATCTCTCAAGTAAGTCGCTAACTGAGGCCATTATATTGCCCGAAGACAATCGCTTTGTACTATTTTTGGCCTATTGACGGTGTTAGATTTAAAATTTGATGCGAAATTGGGTTTTGTCGCAGGGTGCGGCCCTTGATCCCGCGCGAGGTGATTGACATGTGCCACGCCTGCACGAGCGTGGCCTCCGGGGAGCCCCAGATCTGGGTGGGCAAGGACAAGGCCTTCACTTTCGACCACGTCTTCGACTGCCCCACCCACCAGGAGCGGGTCTACGACACCTGCGTCAAGGCACTGGTCGAAGGGTGAGACTTTTCTCCGGCTCCTCTTGGCTGCTCATTGGACGTGCCGCAGCTTGTGTGTCAACCAGTTCTTGACCCGCTTGCTGGTTTAATGTCTTGCCAAAATATAAACAGCCGCGAGAGGTGTCGCAGCCTCCGATGCTCTTTGTACTCCTTCATCCACCGGTCCTTTGTACTCCTTCATCCAAGGACTGATAGGTGGCTTCTCGCAATTAGCCAGCGCCGACCCTCTCGCCTTTTTTTGAAAAAGTGGAGGGGTGCCTCAATGGGAGTGAGGTTTGCGAGTTGGGCAGTCACTCACCTCCCTCATTCTCACCCATGAGGTGAGGGTGAGTGAGTTTGTAGGCCTCGAAAACTCGCGAGTTTCAGGCTGAGAGGGACCTGAGCTCAGTGAGGTCGGGGAGTCCGGGTTGTCAGGGGGCACTGGGGGATGCAGATGTAGGAGAGCAGCTTTTTGGGGCGTGTAGCTTGCGCAGAACTCGACTGCCTCCCGAAGTTTTGCTCTTGCACCTGCTGCCACCGTTCATCTTCTAGATTTGTTTTGCACGTGTGTTCTTGGGAAGGTGGTGTAGCTTTTTGGGTTTTCTCGATGCACAGGTGAGACAAGTGTGCAACGTGTGATTATCTGTTGCAGGTGCTTCGACGGCTACAATGCCACGGTCCTTGCCTACGGCCAGGTGCGTATGCCTTTTGCTTCGTCTAGCAGGAAAGAACGAGAGTTGTCTCAACTAGATTTGATCCCAAAGTATTGCCATTATGTACATTTTTGAGGCTGTCCTCATTGAGTTGATGCTCGATGAGGAATACGAGCTCCTGTTCGCAACGCAAGAAAACTCTTTCGACTCTATTTCTGATGGAAAGTGCTGTCAACGCTACGTACCGACGGGGTCAGCCAAGTAGTGGCAAAAGCGTGACATTTGCAATGTTTGTTGCCTTTCTGTTAGAATGGTCATAATAATCTAGGGTCGAGAATTCCGCTCTATTTTGTGCGTTTGTCTTCTGTCTGACTCACGATACAGTGCTTTAGTTTCCAGCATAATATTGGGCAACAGGCACAGCGGTGGTGGATCGCCATCAATGACAGCATACAGTTGCGTCATAGGCTACTTTCTTTGCTTACTTCTTCTATTCTCTGCGAGCTCAGAGTAGTCTATAGGCCGGAGTTGAGAACTCGGCAATTGAGTTCAGTCTTGGGGGTTGCCCGGTTCGGTGAATTTTCATACTACTGACAAAATTTGGGAGTTTGACGTCTTAAATAGTTTGGCCGGACTGTTGCAGAAAACTTTCTAGTTTTGCCAAAATTATGTTGTACAGTATTGTGTTTCTGCATGTAAAACAACTACCCACATTTATACAATATAGTAAACAAAAAAATGTTTTTGAATGTAGGAAAAAATGTTAATTCGGTAAAACTTTTGATAAGCACTGCCTCAAAATTGGCTCGACACATTAATCTGAACTAGCGTAAAATACCGCGGAAGCGCCGCCTTGGTTGAAGCGCCCACCAGAGTCGCCTAATGTTTCCAGAGCACGGAATTCCATTCTGTCCGCTTAGTGGAAGTCGATCCCCGGAAAACGCAGTTCTGAATGGCTGGTTTAACCCGTGGTGGAAGTTATCAGCATCGACGAGTTACGACCGGAAGGTGCGTCAATTTTCTCTGGAATTTTTTTCTATCGAGTAGCCGCTAATCAGGTTCGCGAAAGAAGATTGCCGCCTCGTTTTTTGCTCCGGTTGCGCTGGCGTTTGGAACTCGATACCTCTGACACTAAGCCTAACACTCGACTTGGATGTGTTTCGAGACAGAGACGAGACAGCGAGGAGCAAGTCGCTCTCAACGAAGGAAAGATCTTTACTAAAAACAAACCAGCATCGCCACAGGCCAGGAACTTTGATTGAAGAGCTTGCATGAGAAGGAATGTTGAACTGTACCGCACAGGGCAGCGCCATGTAGGGGATTGCGACTGCTGCGGCGCACTTGGGTTCTGAAGCGAACTCTGGGAACATTCAGCGACTCTGGCGTCTACTATTAACATTTCCGAAACTTGTCAATTCTCCAAATTATGGGTTAACTGCCCGATTCGACCGGGCCCCTGTCTAGATTAACCCAACTTTCGGTGAAAAGTGGGTGAGCGCTTTCCCGGTATTTTACGATCGTTCCATTCAAATTTTTAATTTGGTCCGAGCAGTGGCAACACCGAAAATGGGACTTGAGATGTCGTAATATACACCAACTCATGTTCACAAACAAACCGGAGCGCCCCTAGCGGACGCCATCGGTTCCGGGCATGCGCAATGGAGTGTGGGCAAAAAGCTCGCCATCGCCCATAAACAAACCATTGAAATGCGATGTTGCCGGCATCGGTGTGAGTCTCCTTGCCCTTTTTTGCGTTCGAATTGTTGATCCTATGTCTTCGTGGCAATGTCCAACTACTTGAGCGGCCTCAGCGAAATTACCGAGGCTCGTTACACCGGAAAACTTCGCGTGAATAATGTGACATGCGGTGAAACATTCCGCATGGACGCCGCAGAATGTACGCTAAGCCTGATTCGCGTAATGAGATTTCGCTCGGGCTACAAAAGCGTGAGCCGTAGTTGAGATGGTCGACGTCGATACTGAAAATCGCAAGCAGAATCGGACCAAGTGAATGAGGCATAACAAGTCGGTGATGGCCGCTGGTAAGAATGATAAACATCTCCTTGTATCTACTGTTTACATCGAGCCTGCTTACCAACCTTCAAACTTAAGTCTTTTGAGGCCTGCACTTACTTTTTATTGGAAGTACCGGGCCAACATTCGGTCTACGGACCAGTGTCGTCTAAAAGAGCAGACAACAAGAAGCGTTTAAAAAATCGGACGACAATTCAGTCGATCAGGCGGCTGTTCAAACTTGAAGATGCACTGAATGTAGTCCGCCGGTGGTCCGTACAACTTGACGGTTTTCCGGCGTTCATGTTGGAACAAACGTAGAAGTTTGGGCTAGTTGGTATTTCATGATTAAAAATTAAAACAGCGCAAGGACACGGACAAGAACAAGAAGGTAGATGAACAAGGCGCTGTTCGTCTACCTTCTTGTTCTTGTCCGTGTCCTTGCGCTGTTTTAATTTTTAATGATGGAACAAAACCAATAAATCTGACGACCACAAGTATCTGTGAATTCAACCCAAAGTGCTTCCCGCCCAAGCAATCGTGGTCCGACGGCGTCTGGTTTTTCATTTTCACGGCACATATCCACATTCTCGGACAAGCCGAGCGCATAAAAACTGACCTTCAAACCTTTCTCGACTCTTTTGGTACGGCCCCAGTCGCGGCGTTTTGACGAGAAGGCAGGTTTTTGTCTGATTCCTTTCAAAACAACGCAGGAATACACGTCTCGGACAGCCCCAGACCGGAAGTGCGCCCGACACGCCACCACCGCGCCGTGACGTAATAGAGATGATATACGCGGCTACTTTGCAGGTTACCCGTATAGTCATTTCCTTGATCTCTGTTCCGAATATTTTTTTGGCATCTTGGTAGTAGACCAACTCAGATTACCGATAGTATGGCTGCTGCATTGGATTTAGTTCTCTCCACTGACATAACCCTCTTACCAGGAATCAGCGGTGGTTGCATTCTTCAACTTGCATACGCCAAAGTGTATGTCTAGAATAGAACTAATACTAAGCTATTTCGTGATATGTATGTCGACGCAATGGATAACCAGTTGGCAACCTTCCTGGATGAGTTCCTGCTTTCTTTTTCAGAGCGTCCGGATGAAACTAATTGGAACTTGTTTAAAACTAAACTCTAATTACTTTATTCATTCCATCTTTTTTTTTTTTTTTCTAAACCCCAGTCTCCTTGGTTTAAGGGGGAACACTGGTCTTGGAGCTTTTTTTCTTATTTTATTACCAAACCGAATGGAATTGTTCAAGCTTGTTCAGTTTTTAGTGCCGATTTCATATATCTGGTAACTTTCTCAGTCAGAAGAATTGTTCTCAAGATAATTAAAACTTGCCTGCCTTTGTTTGGAGGAACGATAGGGAAAAAACTTCTCAACAAAATATCCTTTTTAACAGATGGCTAGATAATGCTGCACGCGCAGCTGGCCAAGTAGGCAGCACGCGCGTGGCCTAACGGTTATCGCGCTTGCCTTACACGCAGAAGGCCAGGGTTCGATTCCTGGCCGCAGCTACGCATTTTTGTTGACACTGTAATGTGATGTTCTGGTGAATTCAAGAACCGTGTAGCTGGTTCGAGGTTAGAATGTTCTACGCGTCAAACCTTCTACGTCGAATGCTCCAGAAGCCAACGTGTGTACAAAAGCGGCTCCGCGTGGCAAGCCGGAGTCAGTTTTCGCCCCAGCGTTCGACTCTGCTGCTACGCCGACTTCGACGCCCGCGACACTCTGTTATTATCTTTTGTACCCTTTTATTTTTGACACAGATTCGCCACATTAAACGTTTATTTCTTCCTGTTTATTTCTTGCTTATTGGTCACCACCCGCGACAATACTACGAAGTGTAGAGAATACAATGTTGAAAGTACTTTTAAAGGGTAACTGCAAAGAAAAAAAGTTTTTTTTTAAACAGCTTAATTGGGACAAGCATGTCAAAAAACAATTTTCCGCGAGAAAAAAATTTTTTTACAGCATTGCGTGAGACTGATTTTAGTTTGCGGCTATTTCGTCTGTTTTAAATTGCGCGCCACAAAGTTGGGATTCCGTGACGTTTATACCAATCGGCCGCTATACTTATCATTGGCTAAGAGTTTGATTGACAGCTTAAAAAAAATAAAAAAAGCTCTATGTGCAATACGTAAAAAATGGTCTCAGTTCATGCATCTGCGGGCAGGTACGAAATCTTGCCCAAATTTATTCACACCGCACGATGAGCGCAACACGTCGCTGTGCAAACGCAGTCCAACAACACGAAGCATAAAAACTGCAGATTTAGGGCAACAATTCAGAGTCCATTGTTCAATTAAAACAACGTAATTTCGTTGAAAACGCCCGCAGCTTTTTATTCACGGTATGCGTCGGGAATCTTCCACATTTTGTAGCGGATGGAGGGAAGATTTACTTTTAAAAACGCTCGCTGAATCCTCTTGGACCAGTTTGACTGGATCAGCTGACGACGACGGGATTGAACTCGTTGAACTTGAACCCCACAACAACCAATTTGCGCTCCGTGTTAGTGTAGGTGTCTACTTCCAAGCACCGCACCATATAAACCACGAAGGTTTCAGCTCTTTGTCACATCGCCGTGTTGCACCAAACAGAACGAGATCGCCGAAGTCAACGCAGCGCTGTCGTGAACCTTGGCTTCTGGTTGCGCACTCGTGGATTCTGTGAGTCCCTTCGCTTTCAAAGCACGCACGACGATTACGAATGATACTTTCCATCTTCCGGTAACATCACAGGGGCACTTCTCCTGTCACGTCTTCGCTATGTGCTCGCAAACCGTGCAGCGTCTGGTGTCCCGTGAAACCACAATAATACCAGTGCCATGTTTAACGTGCGTTGTTGCCAGATCTTACCGCAAGTCGAGACGCCGCGTCGTTCAACTCCGTAACGCATGGAGATTGAGGGGCGGGGCGTACTTCTCCGTGGGGGTCGAAAGAGGGGGAATTTCAAATCTGGAGCGGTTCTGACTCCGACTAAATTACGTCCTGTGGCGTAAATATTGCTAGAAAAA